CCACGCTTGACAAATTAAAAATTTGGCAGAGACAAATTTTGTCGAGATTTTTGGAAGGGCCAAACAAATTTTGTCAGTCCAGTGCGTCCGGACCCATATTGTTTGTTCTTCATTGATTGATTGATTGGCACAAGATTACAACAACACGGGTCACAATATGTAAATATTAAGATAAATCAATCAATCAATCAATCAATCAATCAATCAATCAATCAATCAATCAATCAATCAATCAATCAGGCAAACTGTCCAGTGGATGAACGCAGGTCGACTAAACGTGATAATAACTACATTTGATCCAAATACCAAAACATAGATTTCTATGAAGAGATAGCCGAAGAGGCCAAATGTCACATAGTGATCTGAAGCTAATAGGTTTGCGGATAAGTGTTCGGGGGTGCTGCTCTCGAGTTATGCATGACTGATTTAGACGGCGCAGATTTACTGGCTAAAATTAACAATTGATTTGTAACTACTAGCAGTGTGCTACAATTGCTATGGATGCACTTGAAGGTTTGGAAAGCATCAGGCTTCACCTCGACCAACTATTGTGCTCTCCTAAGTATAAACCCACACCTGCGTCCATAACTCAATAGACGCAAGCTGGAGTTTGGAGTAGTTCTAGATTAGCTCTAAACTGATCACGTGACTAATACACGTACGAGGTTTATTCTCAACACGCGTGTACGGGTTGGTCAGCTACAGAAAGAAACATATTTCTGATATTTTGCGTCCTGCATAAATAGGATAATGGTCACTGAAACTAGTGTGGAGAACCCCAGAGCAGGCAATTTTGTTGAGGCAGTTAGTTAATATAGCATCGATTAGTGATGTACTTGAATTGGATACCCGTATCGGTGTTTTGATAAGTTGAGACAATTGCTATGTCTCAGTAATGGACCTAAGAGTAATGTAATTATTATTATTATTGTTTTGATTACTTGAAAGGTAGTGAAAATTAATTTGGATCACCAACAAGGATAATTTCTTTGTCCTCAGAGCCTATTCTACCTATCATCTCTTCAAGGCTTGCTACACGGAATGGGAATTTCGAGACAGATATCCTCAATACCTTCTAAATCTAAATCTTGACGAATAAGATAATTAATCGTAGACCTAATGTAAATGGCAACACCACCACCCTGACGGATTCTATCCTTTCTTAATAAGTCATACCCATCAATAGAAAATGATTCATCCTTTAAGGTGTTAACCCTTAGAGCGAGGAAATCAAGTAATTGCTTACTTAAATTTGATTGAAGCTCTTCAAAATGCTTAGGAAGACTCACAATGTTGTGAGAAATAAATTTAAATCCTCTGTTGATGGGAAGCGAGAAATAAAGCTGCATGCATTTCTAAATTCCTCCGACGTAGTGTGGACGGAGTCTAGTACAAACCTCGACGTCAATGAACATCGCCAAAAAAAAAAGGTTTAATGAGCAAAACAATGACTGTACAAGTGTGTTCAGTAAACCTTTGTACATTTCATAGCCTTCCTCTGCAAAACAACGACGCAAAATGATCGCGAACGCGAACGATGAGTCGAACTGCTAATTTTTCGTATTCCCATTTAGAATTGAACGCCGTCATTACATATTTAGCCTGAGCGAGGTTTTTGAGCCATAGCCATCCTCGACAATTTTACAAGGCGTTGTCCTCGGCGTCGTTGTCGTCATTGTTAAGATCCCTATATTTGCATCTCGGATGCTGGAAGGTCGATACACTTGTTTAACATGGGGTCTGTCATCCTAAGTGGCTGCTTTATGCTTTGCTCATGTTTTATCCCGACCAATCGAACGCAGATGAGAGTACCGTGTAAAAACCGAAAAAATCACATAATCACATAAATTGCAGTTCTTTGTCAAGATTCTCTTAATTCAGCGATTTAGTTGTCGAGCTTTTCGGTAGGAAGTTTTTCCCTCCTGCTGAAACAATCTCGTTTACGTTACTTTGCCGATGCAATACATTTTCATCTTCCCCATTACTACACGGCAATCGTTTGCATCTTCTTCTTCACTATAGCTTAAGGCTTTGAACACTTAAAGGCCATCGTCATAAATAACGTCCTTGAACATGGCGAGTTGATAGTCTGGGCTTTCCCGCTACAAACCAAGTAATTATTACAGTATTTCTCTTTCCATAGCTTCCAGTTCTCGAGGATCTCGCCACTTAATTGACCTCAAATCTAAATGTCGGGGAGACAATGATATCTGGTGGAATAACGTTGAAAATTGTGATGCTTTAGGCGGCGAGGCAACGGAAGCTGTTTTCGCTCATTAAGCCATGCGTAGACGGTAGACGTTGAAGACGAATTTGAACTACCCTTTCGCTGTAACGTGTAATATTAGATGGCAGAACGAACCTCATCAATCAAGGTTTAATCTGGCTACTGTAACTCAAGATACACAAGGTGAACGCGTATAGCATAAATTACAAAGCCGTTACGGAACATAAGCGTGCATACAAAGAATGTTTGGCAAATTAGCATATTATAGCCATAAATTAAGGTATGTCCGCCATTTTGAATAATCAAATCCAGCGGGTGTCAGAGACTCATTTGTCCGGTTTGGCTATGACGTCAGTGCTTTCTAACTGGCTCACAACTAAGCCTTTTGTTTTTTCGCTTTATAAGTGCGACACCACCCGGATGGTTGGGCGGCTTGTTAACTCCACCGCAATATACACATCTCTCTTAAAACAATACCTCCTGGATATATAATCAGGTATTCTTCCTCAATCACCCCTAAATATCCCCCCCAATATTCCCTTACAGCCTACATCTCATTAATCCCCTACATATACCTAATCATCCTTCATCTCATTAATCCCCCACGTATACCTACACAGGTATTCTTCCTCAACCACCCCTAAATACTCCCCCAACTTTCCCTCACAGTCTGCATCTCATTATTCCCCTACATATACCTACACGGCCTGCATCTCATTAATCCCCTTCATATACCTACACAGCCCACATCTCATTAAATCCCCCACATATGCCTACACAGCCCACATCTCATTAAATCCCCCACATATGCCTACACAGCCTACATCTCATTAATCCCTTACATATACCTACACAACCTACATCTCATTAATCCCCCTACATATACCCACACAGCCTACATCTCATTAAATCCCCCACATATGCCTACACAGCCTACATCTCATTTATCCCCCACATATACCTACACAGCATACATCTCATCAATTCCCCTACATATACCTATAAAGCCCACCTCATTAATCCCCCACATATACCTACACAACCTACATCTTATTTATCCCTCTACATATACCTACACATCCTAGATTTCATTAATACCCTATAAATACCTACACAGCCTATATCTCATTAATCCCCCACATATACCTACACATCCTACATCGTAATTATCCCCCTACAAATACCTACACAGCCTACAGCACATTAATCACCCACCTATACCTACACAACCTACATCTCATTAATTCTCTACATATACCTACACAGCCTACATCTCATTAATCCCCCTACATATACCTACACACCATACATCCGACTAGTCCCCTACATATACCACAGCCTTCTTCTTATTAATACCCCACATATACCTTCAAGGCCTTAATCTCATTAATCCCCCACATATACCTACACAGCATACTTCTCATTAATCCCCCACATATACCTACACAGCATACTTCTCATTTATCCCCCACATATACCTTCACAGTTTGCATTTCATTAAATCGTTTTTAGAGTCATTACTCATCATATTCAGTGGCTATCAACTCACGTAGAACCAAGTAGTCTTATCATATCTTGGCATAAGTAAATTGACTATCGTTATTCAAATTATCCGTTCACTTACCGTTTCGCTAGCAAGTCCTAGCGGTAACTAACCGCGCATCGAGTGAATAGCACCGGGACATGTGATTATTGCCGTCTTTAAATGAGGTGCAACTTGTGAAATAGGATCGACACAGGTTAGACGTTTGTTACCACGCTTGAATTAAGTCGTCTCTTTGAAGCACCTATATTTAAGTTATTCGACGGGACTTGGATTCGACGTTTGCCCTTGGCCTTAGTGTAGAGCCTCGACTCAAAGATTTAGTTCGAGAATATTACGTGAGGGTGCTTCATGTGGTTATCGACATGCAACCGTTGATAAAGTTTGATGATCTATTTATCGCTCGGTTTAGACTTAAGGAAGTTACTGGGTTGCTGTTATTTAGCTAGGTCAGTTAGTGCGGCTTTAGACAATGTTAGAGAATTTTTTTTTGGTGATTTCAGATAACTTGTACTTTGGCTGGATAGGGTTGAAAAGTGAGCAAATGTAAACGAATTAAACGCAGAAGCCAATGAAATGTAACTGTTCCCATACTGCCAGAAAAATTGTGTGCGACGCGTGGCCTTTTGTCTGCATTTTACCCCGGGTCCGCAATGCTGACCGGCTGTCATGCCAATATCACGTGTTCCTTGTTTGTCCAGCGTTAGCTGTCGTGACACTGAAAAGGTTGCGTAGATAATTTATGCAAGGAACACAATTATCAACGGTAACACAGACGGTCGATTCTTTTTTTTTACTCAAGAGAGATTGGTTCGTCGCTGATATCACGCGTAAAGGGCAAGAGGCCCTTTCTTGGTGTCCTAGAAGCCCTTTCTCGTCGTTTAAAACCGGTCAAGACAACAGGTGAAACATGAAGTCTTTTATTTTACTGCGGAGCTATTTTTAATATACACCATTGGTAAATACATGTGCAGTACTGCTTCGAAGTTAGATTCTGTTTATTGAGGGACTGGTAAAGCTATGTTCGTTAAAATGACTTCAATGTCGTCGGCAAAAATGAGATTAATTCAAATTTAACGTGAATATGAATTACGTGCGGTTTTATTAGCATTTCTTTCAGTCGAGCAGCTTTCGTAGAAATTGTACGCTTTTAAAGCATGTTTAGAGCGAACAGGTTATTTGACACCAGCTGGGCCTAACACGTGGCGATTATGGCGATTTCTTCGCGGTTCGTCATTGTCGGGGATAGCGCACAGACCTAAAACTTGGAGAAGTGTCTTCTTTATTTATCTTCTATAAGATCGCATTTTCTTGACTTGATCCACAGAATGGTTTTTGATTTACTTTTTTATTGCGTGACAGGTAAAACCATCTGCGGCATTATCACAGATGCATGTGTTATGAAGTACATTTCCGGTGATTTGATAGCACAGTCTTCTTTTTAGAGATTGACACGCGATCTCGTGATATCGCGGCTGTAATAAGGAGGTTTGTTATATGAGTTTAAAATAGATACATCTATAGGCTTTTGTTCTTGGGCCATCGTAGTTTAACGAGGAATAAAACACAAATAGCGGTGATAAACATGCGTAAGTTTAATATGTTTATCACCGCTATTTGTGTTTTATTCCTCGTTAGATACATCTATTTTACTATTTTACAATTTCTAAAGCAATTTTTTTTAAAAAAAAGCATTATTTCCCTCGCGCAGAATGTCATTGTTCTCGGGACATTTACTTACAGTTCATACTGCCTATATATTATTATTCAAATAATCCATCAAGGATTTTTTTTTATTATTGTCCTGGTTAATTTTGCATGTCTTAAACGCTAATTTAATACGGGCTCGTATCGGGGAGTCCGATCTCATCATCCGAAGTGGCCCAGGTGACCCTTGATGGATTCCTAAGGAACGGACCATCAGAAAAGTGCTAAGGGGGAGGGGGGNGGAGCGGAATTGGTGGGGGTAATATTCTATTGCTGCAATCTTAATCTCGACACTCACCACAGTCTGAACCCCTGGAACAGGCTCTAAGTTGAAACAAATATTTTTAAACTTTGCTTTCCTGGCAAAATTATACTCGGAGGAAACAAAACCAAGTATCAGACACATCCAAGTCCTATTGCCTAAAATGGGGCTGCATTGCTTTTTTGGTTTGATATTTCGGGAATCAATTTTATTAATTCATTACCCTTGTAATAAAATTCATTCTTGGCATGCAGTGAATCAAGGTTTAAGCTAGAGTTCTGTGAGAAACCGTCCAGTAGTTAAATTTGGGGCCGAATAGCTTATTCAATTAGGGGGATCTGGGTGCATGCACCCCCAGAAAATTTGGCAAAATTCAAGCATTTTTTGGTGCGTTTTCCACGATTTTCAGCCTTTATGTTTAATATGACGGGACTTGAATGATAATGCGTTGTTTCCTTTGCCAAAAACCTAAAATAGATTGAAACAGCCCATGCTAAAAGCATCAGTAGTGTTAACACCTCCATGATTGTCTTTGGTTACAACGTTTTTCCAACATTGATCTTGGCCGCCATCTTTGATAGGGGAAGTGTTACAGTTCTCCCTGGGTATGCACATCTGTGTCCGCAATTGTCATTTATATATGTCAGTTTTGAAATCACTCCTATATTTCTTTCAAAACACGGTATGTCCTTGCTTAAATGCAAACGAATCAAGCAGGATATCGATGGCTGTTTATAGCACACGTTTTTTTTTATCACTTTTAAGCTATGGTTATCCATAAGGGTTTTTCTGCAAGGATGTTTGGCTACCAGCATCCATGATGAGGCTGCTATGCAGTATAACGTGGCTGCCAAGTGACAAGCCGATAAAGTTGCAAGTTGCAGAGTATAAAGTGGCTGCCAAGTATAAAGAATGCAATTTAAAGTGGCTGCCAAGTGTAAAGAATGCAGTTAAAAGTGGCTGCCAAGTTGCCATTCAGGCGGGTACAGTTTGTAAGCCAGACAGTGCAATCCACCCTGAAGCAATTTTTTTCTTCACTTCTGCTTTGCGCGATTTTTTTTTTTCAATCACCCTCCCTAGCATGAATTTTTTTTGTTTGCTTTTCCCCACCCTCCCCCCATCACGTTTCCAATGGTCCTTATAATAAAGATCTAATTTGTACTCTTGTACTACTGATTTCTGCTTTGTCGATGTTTCTATAGCGAAATTATTGGCGTGGCATCAGTTGGTGTAAGCATCTGCCTTTAGGCCTTGGAATACATTGGAATAATCTGTTTAACTACATTTGTTCAAATTTTGGCTTGTGCGCATGCCCGGAATTGCAGTTTTACTCAATTTTGTACCTAATACTCGAAAAATCTCTCCGTTTAGTAAAAAAAAAGCTTTTTTTTTTAGCAAAACTTAGGCTTATTTAGCGTCATGGCAGCTAAAAAACCTGACTAAACGGTTAAAGTGATCGATAGATTTTTTTCTGTTCAGCAAGCTCAGGTGTCATGACTACGCTCTCCACGGGCAATGGAGATGATCAAGCATCTAATGTCCCCGAGAAACATGAACTTGAAGTGCCTACATGCCGCCCTGATAGCTGGTGTTCATGGTTGGTGTGTGTCTCCTCTGCAATGTCGGTTATCATTGTCGTGGGAATCACATACTGCTTTGGCTTACTTCTACCTCCTTTGATGGAACACTTCGACGAGACACGGCAAGCAACAGGTAAAACGATGCTGATACAGGCACAAAATTTTAAAGTTACGTAACTTAGGCACAACATCTTGTTGTATCAATTTCTGTGGTCAATAGTAGGTCTTCACATAAAGAATTGAATAAACATCAAGCCTTAAATCAAGCTTTTCACTCTTATTGTGAATGCACATCCACTGAGCTAGATATCTGGTGTCTGATAATGGTATTATTTTACTCTGGAGCTAGGATTTATCTTCCAAGATAAAAACAAACGCTTCAATATTGCTAAATATAATCATTCTTCATTGCTTAATCTTATGTCGCTATCCTGGTAATGTAGTCACTCGATTTCTTTGCCCGGGAAATCAAGATTCGGATTTATTATTTTAAGACGTCTTATTTCATCGCTCGATCCCTCAATATTTTCGTTCAACTACGGAACCGCATTGTCTGAAAACCGTCTGTGGTGTAGTCACACTGCAATCATTGCAACAGTGTCAAAACATCTTTTTCTAGTAAGGCCCTTGGCTTTTCGTTCGCGGAACTGTTTTTCGTACTTCTGGCGACGAAAAAGCAGATCATTGAACAAGTTCAATCGTCGCTTCCACGTATATTTTTTTGGGTGGTTTAACCTTGGGAGTTATTCCGGTCGACAAAGAGACAAGCGCCAAGCGAATAAAATCGACAGGCTTCCTCCTAGAAGTTGCCTATTTTATCACTCGGTCAAGAATTATTTTCATCTGATATATAACTGATATATAACAGTAAATTTTATCGGTTGGCTCTGAATTTGTTACTCCCAGAGTCCCAGATATGCTAATGTGCGTATGTTGTTGGAAGTACTTAACGAACGAGCGAAATGTTTTGTTTTGACGTCTTCTTCGTCGATTTTTTGTTGCAAAAGTGAAAGAAACATCAAATATCTTGATTTCTGCACAGTAATGCATTCGAAACATCAGCCAACAATGTGAGGTTCTGTGAAAAAAGCGTGACCATTCGTGCGTCGACTTGTCTGTTTTGAATGTTTTGCAAATTTAAGGCGTCACGATACCACATTGCATGTTATTTTGCTTTTTAAAATGCCTTAGCTGTCTCTGAATTTGCAATTCAATGTAAGGGTGCGACAAAGACGATGTCCATTTGCCGCAGGCAAGTGGTTTTGGCCAGTGGACAAATGGGTTGTCAATCTTACTTGTCCTTTGGACAAGTGAATCTTCAGAAAATAATTTAAAAAACAAGGTGTTTTAAATGTTTCAGCGGAAAAATTAGTATACGGTTTAGTTTTTGCAAGTGTAAAACAGACCACTTTTCGCAAAAGAAACTTACAAGTTAGAAATGAAATAAGTTGAGCACTTACGATTTATCCGCCATTTTATTTCCATGCGTACCGAAAGGGGCCTGGGACTCATTTGGGGGTATCGATTTGTGCATTTATTAATAGACCCTCTTAGTCGCTGTCAGCACATGCACAATGGTTGATCAGCCAAGCATAAAAGGCAATTTTGGTGCACCGGGAAAGCAGCTAAAGAGAAAAGCAAAACCTTCGGCAAAAAGCACCGAGGTGAATGAGACGAAAAAACAAACTGACAGCCCAACAGTTCGAGTTTGAAAGTTTCAGGAATCTTGGAAGGACACCTTCCCTAGGGTAGTACACGATGCGAACCAAGATGTGATGTATTGTTCTAGATGTAGAAGGTATTCCGCCTTGGCAAATCATAGTTCTTAGTGCATTGATTGTGGATTGGGCCCAAAGTATCACGTAGATTCTTTTGTTCATCATAACGCGTCAAAGGAACATCATCGTTACTCACTAAAACTTGAAAAAGAGTTAAATCCTCAGTACGTGGAACCAATTAAGGCAGCTGTTCAAAGACATGTGTTTCAACTATGGATTGGATTTAACTGTACGTCCAAGGACAACTAGACTTGAGGTTTGGACAAGCAAAACCAGAACCTCACTTGCAGTCCATTGGACAAGTGAAGTTCAACATTTTTTTCTTACCCTGAATGTTTATCTTCGTTTAAAAATGTTCTGTTGGGTAAACCGCAAAACGCTTCTTATTTTCTTTTTCACTTCTGCAAACATCAGCGATCTCACGATCGCACCTCCCTAGCAACGTATAGAGGGTCCTATTATAGGAAGTTGGACATTCCGGAAACCGCCAAATTTTGTTCCTTTGAAACCGCAGACCGCTTTCGTTTTCTGCTAAAAACTGGAAATTCATATCAGTCCCTTCTATGGATCCACTACTGTGGTGCAAGGGTGAATGGAACCGCCAAACTCCTTGCAATTTCGTCTAATAGTATATATCCTCTGTCTTCTTGTTTGATAGATCGACCTTTGCTTGCTTTCCAATTGTATTAATATTGAACATTTGTTATTTTACAGCGTGGGTTGGCTCCTTGTACATTGCAAGTGGTTGTCTGTTCAGCCCCATCTCCTCTCATATAAGTGAGCGTTTCAGCTACAGGCTCACCGCTATTTTGGGTTCATTGGCAGGAATCATTGGCTTTTTCCTTGCCTCCCTGTCGTCACAACTCTGGATGATGTACCTAACAGTTGGCGTTCTTTCAGGCTTCGGCCATGTAATGATTTTCAATTCTTGTTCTTTGATCGTTCTGCAGTATTTTGTCAAATGGCGCTCGGTGGCTATCGGCATGGTAGCATCGGCACCAGCTATCGGCATGTTTGTCATGACTCAGATCACACAGTCACTACTAACTACATTTGGATGGCGGGGACCACTTAGGGGATTTGCTCTTTTGCACATTGTATGCGGTTTTTGTTCAGCCACATTTGTCCCTCTGGACAACATGAAGGAGAAACGCAACGACACCAACACAAATGGGAAAGAAAGATATCAAGAAACATCAAGAAAGAATGCATCCCTTTGGAGGAATCACTCCTTCTTGATCATGTTGTCTTCATTTACTGTTGTCATATTCGCTTACTGGGTTCCTGCCGTGCATATTGTAAGTAATTAATAAAGTAACCTATCGGTTTAGGAGGTAGGAGCCTTTGGGGCTCGCTTCTTACGGGAGGTCATTATATACTTCCGGGGAACAAAAACCGTTTTGCAAAGTTGGTGCGACTGAGCTCTGTTTACGAGACAAAAGACGTTATTCGAGAAAACAGCATTAAGGACGTTCCAAAAATGTCCCCACGTACAATATTTTTTAAACTTGCCACGTTGGTTGAGACCAACTTTGGGCATAAAGGAAAAAGCGGTGGGGTGGGGGGGGNAATGAGCTCTTATATTAATTATGTGGGCACCTTTAGGCACCTATTTTATACTTCACTGAGGGAATGCCTTTACTTGGACCCAAATAGACAAAGGAGGGTCACCATGCTAATTTTCGAGATCAAGATAAGGTACATTGAAGAACATGGGTTTTTAGAAGCTTTCGTTGCGTTATTTTAAGCCGATCTTAGCTTACAACTGTCAGTAATAAAAGAAGCTAATTAGTGAAATTTAGATCAGGCAAACGTTCTTAGTTCAACATAACTAAGTCTATTAAGTAAACTTTTGCAGCACATTCGTCAGTGCTATCCAGTTGTTGTTGTCGATTTGTTGGGAACACAAAAGTCAGCTGAAAAGTTTATATAAGTAACACTAAAACAATTCCTCTAGAAGAGAATGCTAATTTTAATGAGTGATACATTTGGTTGAACTAGCGATATTTCCACACCGTAGACGAGAAAGGCCATTTTAAACTTGTCCACAGTGTTCCGTAGCGCGGTTACTTAATGGCAGCAACATAAGGCTAATATCTATAATGTTGCATAATAATAAATAGGTGAACGACATAAAGATCGTGTTCATGAAAAAAAGCTACCCCCTAGAATATTCCAAGGACCAAAACACGAGAGCTAGGTACCAAAGAAGTCTCTGGGGAGTGGGTAAGAAGCAATTTCTTAGTATTTTTAAAGGGCCACTTGCCTCGCCTACCCTACAAGGGAGTTCATATCGTGCAATTGTGTCCAGCTGACGAAAATATTGACATCTGAGGTCCGAGTTTTCGATCAGGAACTAGCATTTCGCTTACTTGGAGTATCTTTCCTAATATTCTAATCTCAAATACATGTAATATTCCGTCCTATGGACTTCGCAGCAAAAACTTTGGTCGCAAGAGAGCAGAAAATATGAAATATTTGTAACTTCTCATGTTCAGATGCTTTTTTGTTTCTTGTCAAATGGAGAAAATCAGTAAAGGACGTGATCTATGAAAAGAAAAGAGGGGGTCACCGTACAGTTAAGAGAGTTTACTATCTAAACTGCAGGCGAAGTTAACGCAATTCAGTGAGCGAATGACTGATCAACTGACTTAATGACTATGTGTCTAGCTGGGTGAGAAAGTAAGTGACTGACCTGACAGTAAGCGACTGGCTGATTGCATGATTGACTACCTGGCTAGCTGACTCATCTGCAAGCCCACAGTCTGACTGAATGACTGCTGATTTTGCCTGACCCATTTACAGGCGCATAGACTGGTTGACAGTGTGATTGATTTATTGACTGACTGATTTATCAATTGATTGATTGATTGATTGATTGATGGACAGCCTGACTGAATGATTGACTGACTGATTTGCTGACTGACGGACTAACAGACAGACAGACAGGCAGACAGATAGACTGACTGACCGACTGACTAACAGACAGACTGTCGACTGCCTGACTGACTAACAGATTGACTGACTGACTGTCTGTCTGACGGACTGACTGATAATGTTTAGCTAACCATTTCACAGTCCTATCCGTACCTGCTAATCAACGAACGAGCTAACAAACAAACCAAAGAATGAAATCAGAACCGGAATCTGCTTTCGCGATTATCTTGTGTTCGGCTTCTTTTTGCAGGTCAAGCATTGTGAGCAAGAACTTAAAATTCCCGGAAACAAAGCCTCTAAGCTTTTCACGTACATGGCCATAACATCTTTCATCAGTCGCAACGTATTCTGCAAACTAGGAGACTTACGATACTTCAAAAGATTCCATCTTTATCAAGGAGGCGTAACAATATATGGATTGTGTGTCCTATGTCTGCCATTAGCCAGATCGTTCACCTCTGTTCTAGCCATTTTCATCGTGTTGGGACTAACGGAAGGCGCTATGCTGGGGCAGTTGTCCCTTCTTGTTTTGGAGTGTTGTGGAAAACACAAAGTCAATCAAGCGTGGGGTTACATAATCTTTTTCACTGGTGTGAGTTTTGGTATCGGGTCTCCAATGGCTGGTGAGATAACTCGGATATCATTAGCTTTTTTCTGAAACAGTAACTAACTATTGGCAAATTAAACCCGTGATCTGATTGGCTGCAAAGCAACGGTCAATTACTTTTGACTGTTATAGCTCACTACCAAAACTTCTTGTGCCTCATTAGAAAGAACACCCATGGGCGTACTAGATAATACCTTTACGTCGTAATAATCGTATCCTTTATGGGACGCCTCGTCGGCATATAAGACGAGTTTGGTCGAGCCCTGGTTCGTATTTTGGCGAGACGCAGTCGAGATAAAATACCCATGGCGAGACCAAACGAGTCTGATATGCCGCCAAAGCGGACCAAAAGGGTACGATTAGGTATTTACCGCACCCAAATTCGGCCAAGTGAGCATGATATCGTAGCCATATCAGGTCAATGACTTGATATCGCGGGATATCAGGACAGTAGGCACGGCTTCTGATTGGCCAATTGCGAATTTGGGTACGATAATGAAACATATCCTCCTTCTACAATATTATAGCTGAAATCAAAATAAATATAAATAAATAAATTACATTATTTAGAGAGGAATATGAGAAGAATTCCTCCTCTTCTGTGGATTCCCGTTAGGAGATGGAGCTAAAGAGCAGTTTTTAGGCTGAAACTGTGGTAAACCATGATACGGCGATTGTAAGACAGCAATTAGGAACAAAGAGGTTTGAGAGAGGAAAGGAGAAAAGCTGGGCTCTTATCTCTCTTCTTGAAATTTCTAACATGCATCTGTACAATTTTCTTTTCACGCCCACAAATTTAAATAAATTCCCAAAGAAGACTATCTTATCTATTTGAAATTACGAAAGCTTCTTGTGCGTCATAGCAGTTGAAAATTTTTTCTCTCTGAAAGACAAATTATGTATAAACCGTCGATCTTCTTTCTTGGAGTAACATTCTTTAGAAGAACTTCTGAACCCGCAACGAGTAGGGCAATTCTCTTGATTAATTTCGATAATTCTGCCTGCTAATAATATGGCAGTACTGGACTCCAATCAACTTACGTTATTTGACGCTTTCACAGGTTTGATGGCTGACAAGCTTGGTTCGTACAACGTCACGTTTTACACTGCGGGCGCAATACTGATAGCGGGAGCTTCCATTATATCGCTTAAAGCGTTTGTAAAACAACAAACTGAAGATGCTGAAGAAACGGAGTCCTACGATGAAGAACTTTTAGTCACTGAAAAACTTACAGTGGTTTAAATGTGTTTAGTCCATGCAGGGTAGCCTTAATATTGCCAGCAAATTCTTCGCCTGTTGTTTCTTCTTACCTTTTCCAGCTTTCTCTAGTGACTTCTAGGGTGTTCTTTGTACGATATTAGCTCTTGGACGTCCACTTCGCCACACAAAGATTTTTGATGGATCGAACACTTCCCCACTTTTTGTTGTAATTGGATAAATCAAAATTGTTTTGCGTTTCATCTCTTGGCCTGCTCTACAAGATAAGATATTCTCTGTTCCTGGTGACGTCATATGACGTCACATGACATAATTAAGTCCGACATTTTTGATATGGTTATGGATTGATATAGACATCTTGGATTTCTCTATTCTTAGAAAGCCAGAAAATGACGTAAATTGATGGAAATTAAAACACAAAGGCAGTAAAATAAATGGAGGTACTAATTCTGCAATACTCGGCAAGAAACGTAAAACGTACCAACGTAGTCAATATGTTAAGATTGATTGACAGGCTGCGTGTTGATTTTAAGACAAACGACATGCTAATTTTGTCTACCAGGAATATATATATAGTTAATATAAATAATATTGAACGTAAACCTTTCGTTAAATGTTTAGGTGTTTACACAGACGAATTTCTTAACTGGGAACTTTAGATCCAGCCCGTGAATAGCCAATTAGCAAAGAATATAGAAATAATTTATAAATTACGGAATTATGTTGAGCAACATTTCCTCAAACCATAATATTATACTCTAATTTACCCCCACTTGAAATCTCGAGTTCATAATCTAATTGTTAAATATGCCTAATCATATATTTATATGTATACTATTAACGTTAAAAATTCAGCTATGTACGCAGTAGAAATCTGAATAAGATTGCACCCTTTGGTCATAAAATTCAAAATAAATGATATCGATAGAACGAGTATTCCAGCTGTTTTCTTTGGCGGTCTTACATCAGTGTCAGACATCCATCACCGCAACATCCGGTATGCATCAAATCGAAACCTTTACAGGCCAAAAACATCAGCTAGACATGGACATTTGGCATTCCAATTTTGTGCATCAATAAATTTGCGGGGAATCACACGATATAATTCCTTTAAGAGGTAGTATAAGCAGCGCTTCTTAAATACTTAAAAAATACATTTAATAATAGTCTCTTGTAGGAATGCAATGTTTATATATTTTTCTTTAATGTATTTCAGTAATGTATTGTTCTGTATGGCTTAACATGGTGGCGACCAGCTCGAAAGCCAATGACTACTCTGGTTACCAGGCACATATCGTTTTATCTTTTCCATGACCATATATAAAAAGCTCGATTGGCTATAACGGAATTCGTCATTTACAACAATAACAACTTTCAAAACAAAACAGGTAGATAACAGTTTAACGAAAGACTATCGCTGGTAGGAGTTAAACTTTAACGCTTATCGCCGTTATGATCTTACAACAAAATAGCAGGTTTTTGTTACGGTTAATAAACTGGAACAGTAACCTGTAACTTAGAAATGCTAAACGAACGAAAACAAATATATCTACGTTGGATTTCTATATTTCTGATAGCGAAAGCGAATATGCAAAACATACTAAATTATTTGATTTTCTCTCCTCACACATAGCAGTAACCTGGTTTTTATACCTTATATCATACATCATAAAAATGTATTATGTTTCCCATTGACGGATCGTCAGGGTTTTGTCTACAATGACAATTTTAAACGTGGAAGACTTTATACTATAGGTATTCGAGTCAATTGGCACGCCATGACGGGAGCTAACCATGTAGACTCGCCGCCCAGAAGAGAAGCACAGGANAGAAGGGGGAGAGGGGGTTACCGTGCCCGTTTTCAAGATAAGGTACATTGAAGAACATGGGTTTTTAGAAGCTTTCGTTGCGTTATTTTAAGCCGATCTTAGCTTACAACTGTCAGTAATAAAAGAAGCTAATTAGTGAAATTTAGATCAGGCAAACGTTCTTAGTTCAACATAACTAAGTCTATTAAGTAAACTTTTGCAGCACATTCGTCAGTGCTATCCAGTTGTTGTTGTCGATTTGTTGGGAACACAAAAGTCAGCTGAAAAGTTTATATAAGTAACACTAAAACAATTCCTCTAGAAGAGAATGCTAATTTTAATGAGTGATACATTTGGTTGAACTAGCGATATTTCCACACCGTAGACGAGAAAGGCCATTTTAAACTTGTCCACAGTGTTCCGTAGCGCGGTTACTTAATGGCAGCAACATAAGGCTAATATCTATAATGTTGCATAATAATAAATAGGTGAACGACATAAAGATCGTGTTCATGAAAAAAAGCTACCCCCTAGAATATTCCAAGGACCAAAACACGAGAGCTAGGTACCAAAGAAGTCTCTGGGGAGTGGGTAAGAAGCAATTTCTTAGTATTTTTAAAGGGCCACTTGCCTCGCCTACCCTACAAGGGAGTTCATATCGTGCAATTGTGTCCAGCTGACGAAAATATTGACATCTGAGGTCCGAGTTTTCGATCAGGAACTAGCATTTCGCTTACTTGGAGTATCTTTCCTAATATTCTAATCTCAAATACATGTAATATTCCGTCCTATGGACTTCGCAGCAAAAACTTTGGTCGCAAGAGAGCAGAAAATATGAAATATTTGTAACTTCTCATGTTCAGATGCTTTTTTGTTTCTTGTCAAATGGAGAAAATCAGTAAAGGACGTGATCTATGAAAAGAAAAGAGGGGGTCACCGTACAGTTAAGAGAGTTTACTATCTAAACTGCAGGCGAAGTTAACGCAATTCAGTGAGCGAATGACTGATCAACTGACTTAATGACTATGTGTCTAGCTGGGTGAGAAAGTAAGTGACTGACCTGACAGTAAGCGACTGGCTGATTGCATGATTGACTACCTGGCTAGCTGACTCATCTGCAAGCCCACAGTCTGACTGAATGACTGCTGATTTTGCCTGACCCATTTACAGGCGCATAGACTGGTTGACAGTGTGATTGATTTATTGACTGACTGATTTATCAATTGATTGATTGATTGATTGATTGATGGACAGCCTGACTGAATGATTGACTGACTGATTTGCTGACTGACGGACTAACAGACAGACAGACAGGCAGACAGATAGACTGACTGACCGACTGACTAACAGACAGACTGTCGACTGCCTGACTGACTAACAGATTGACTGACTGACTGTCTGTCTGACGGACTGACTGATAATGTTTAGCTAACCATTTCACAGTCCTATCCGTACCTGCTAATCAACGAACGAGCTAACAAACAAACCAAAGAATGAAATCAGAACCGGAATCTGCTTTCGCGATTATCTTGTGTTCGGCTTCTTTTTGCAGGTCAAGCATTGTGAGCAAGAACTTAAAATTCCCGGAAACAAAGCCTCTAAGCTTTTCACGTACATGGCCATAACATCTTTCATCAGTCGCAACGTATTCTGCAAACTAGGAGACTTACGATACTTCAAAAGATTCCATCTTTATCAAGGAGGCGTAACAATATATGGATTGTGTGTCCTATGTCTGCCATTAGCCAGATCGTTCACCTCTGTTCTAGCCATTTTCATCGTGTTGGGACTAACGGAAGGCGCTATGCTGGGGCAGTTGTCCCTTCTTGTTTTGGAGTGTTGTGGAAAACACAAAGTCAATCAAGCGTGGGGTTACATAATCTTTTTCACTGGTGTGAGTTTTGGTATCGGGTCTCCAATGGCTGGTGAGATAACTCGGATATCATTAGCTTTTTTCTGAAACAGTAACTAACTATTGGCAAATTAAACCCGTGATCTGATTGGCTGCAAAGCAACGGTCAATTACTTTTGACTGTTATAGCTCACTACCAAAACTTCTTGTGCCTCATTAGAAAGAACACCCATGGGCGTACTAGATAATACCTTTACGTCGTAATAATCGTATCCTTTATGGGACGCCTCGTCGGCATATAAGACGAGTTTGGTCGAGCCCTGGTTCGTATTTTGGCGAGACGCAGTCGAGATAAAATACCCATGGCGAGACCAAACGAGTCTGATATGCCGCCAAAGCGGACCAAAAGGGTACGATTAGGTATTTACCGCACCCAAATTCGGCCAAGTGAGCATGATATCGTAGCCATATCAGGTCAATGACTTGATATCGCGGGATATCAGGACAGTAGGCACGGCTTCTGATTGGCCAATTGCGAATTTGGGTACGATAATGAAACATATCCTCCTTCTACAATATTATAGCTGAAATCAAAATAAATATAAATAAATAAATTACATTATTTAGAGAGGAATATGAGAAGAATTCCTCCTCTTCTGTGGATTCCCGTTAGGAGATGGAGCTAAAGAGCAGTTTTTAGGCTGAAACTGTGGTAAACCATGATACGGCGATTGTAAGACAGCAATTAGGAACAAAGAGGTTTGAGAGAGGAAAGGAGAAAAGCTGGGCTCTTATCTCTCTTCTTGAAATTTCTAACATGCATCTGTACAATTTTCTTTTCACGCCCACAAATTTAAATAAATTCCCAAAGAAGACTATCTTATCTATTTGAAATTACGAAAGCTTCTTGTGCGTCATAGCAGTTGAAAATTTTTTCTCTCTGAAAGACAAATTATGTATAAACCGTCGATCTTCTTTCTTGGAGTAACATTCTTTAGAAGAACTTCTGAACCCGCAACGAGTAGGGCAATTCTCTTGATTAATTTCGATAATTCTGCCTGCTAATAATATGGCAGTACTGGACTCCAATCAACTTACGTTATTTGACGCTTTCACAGGTTTGATGGCTGACAAGCTTGGTTCGTACAACGTCACGTTTTACACTGCGGGCGCAATACTGATAGCGGGAGCTTCCATTATATCGCTTAAAGCGTTTGTAAAACAACAAACTGAAGATGCTGAAGAAACGGAGTCCTACGATGAAGAACTTTTAGTCACTGAAAAACTTACAGTGGTTTAAATGTGTTTAGTCCATGCAGGGTAGCCTTAATATTGCCAGCAAATTCTTCGCCTGTTGTTTCTTCTTACCTTTTCCAGCTTTCTCTAGTGACTTCTAGGGTGTTCTTTGTACGATATTAGCTCTTGGACGTCCACTTCGCCACACAAAGATTTTTGATGGATCGAACACTTCCCCACTTTTTGTTGTAATTGGATAAATCAAAATTGTTTTGCGTTTCATCTCTTGGCCTGCTCTACAAGATAAGATATTCTCTGTTCCTGGTGACGTCATATGACGTCACATGACATAATTAAGTCCGACATTTTTGATATGGTTATGGATTGATATAGACATCTTGGATTTCTCTATTCTTAGAAAGCCAGAAAATGACGTAAATTGATGGAAATTAAAACACAAAGGCAGTAAAATAAATGGAGGTACTAATTCTGCAATACTCGGCAAGAAACGTAAAACGTACCAACGTAGTCAATATGTTAAGATTGATTGACAGGCTGCGTGTTGATTTTAAGACAAACGACATGCTAATTTTGTCTACCAGGAATATATATATAGTTAATATAAATAATATTGAACGTAAACCTTTCGTTAAATGTTTAGGTGTTTACACAGACGAATTTCTTAACTGGGAACTTTAGATCCAGCCCGTGAATAGCCAATTAGCAAAGAATATAGAAATAATTTATAAATTACGGAATTATGTTGAGCAACATTTCCTCAAACCATAATATTATACTCTAATTTACCCCCACTTGAAATCTCGAGTTCATAATCTAATTGTTAAATATGCCTAATCATATATTTATATGTATACTATTAACGTTAAAAATTCAGCTATGTACGCAGTAGAAATCTGAATAAGATTGCACCCTTTGGTCATAAAATTCAAAATAAATGATATCGATAGAACGAGTATTCCAGCTGTTTTCTTTGGCGGTCTTACATCAGTGTCAGACATCCATCACCGCAACATCCGGTATGCATCAAATCGAAACCTTTACAGGCCAAAAACATCAGCTAGACATGGACATTTGGCATTCCAATTTTGTGCATCAATAAATTTGCGGGGAATCACACGATATAATTCCTTTAAGAGGTAGTATAAGCAGCGCTTCTTAAATACTTAAAAAATACATTTAATAATAGTCTCTTGTAGGAATGCAATGTTTATATATTTTTCTTTAATGTATTTCAGTAATGTATTGTTCTGTATGGCTTAACATGGTGGCGACCAGCTCGAAAGCCAATGACTACTCTGGTTACCAGGCACATATCGTTTTATCTTTTCCATGACCATATATAAAAAGCTCGATTGGCTATAACGGAATTCGTCATTTACAACAATAACAACTTTCAAAACAAAACAGGTAGATAACAGTTTAACGAAAGACTATCGCTGGTAGGAGTTAAACTTTAACGCTTATCGCCGTTATGATCTTACAACAAAATAGCAGGTTTTTGTTACGGTTAATAAACTGGAACAGTAACCTGTAACTTAGAAATGCTAAACGAACGAAAACAAATATATCTACGTTGGATTTCTATATTTCTGATAGCGAAAGCGAATATGCAAAACATACTAAATTATTTGATTTTCTCTCCTCACACATAGCAGTAACCTGGTTTTTATACCTTATATCATACATCATAAAAATGTATTATGTTTCCCATTGACGGATCGTCAGGGTTTTGTCTACAATGACAATTTTAAACGTGGAAGACTTTATACTATAGGTATTCGAGTCAATTGGCACGCCATGACGGGAGCTAACCATGTAGACTCGCCGCCCAGAAGAGAAGCACAGGAAGGCTGGGAGGGGTCGTGAACTTGTGACTGTGTGGCTAGTGGCAAGGAAGTTGATCTACGAATTCTAAAGGAGGAATTTGTCTCGTTTCTCTCTCTGAAGTTCAATTGAACGACCAAGCACGGTCTTCTTGAGGTAAGGAAATATTTTACGTTCTTTCTACCATCATTGTTCATGCGTGCAGCGCTGAAGACAACATTCTAGTACTTGGGAGTCATACTTTGTATAGACGTTATCCTGTACTATATACCAATCGCACATGAAACCCCGCAGACCTCAAAGAAAAAAGCAAAGATACCGACAGTTTATTGTTGGAAGGTCCGTGAGCGTGCACGATCTTTTGTTGTAATTGCGTTCAAACACCATGCACTGTGAGATACCTCCAGGGAGAGGGGGGAGGGGGAGGGGAAAACTCACAGCGCGGTTTTGGTACTTCTTAGGGTCTTTAGCCTCAAAAGGGTCACAGCGAGAGCTTTTGCAGTACCTTTTAGGGTATTGAGCCGAAAAAATATCACAGTAGTTAATATGTTATGTAAGAATTGGTACCTCTTAGGCCCCGTCTTTTTTTATATGGGAGTCGCCCTCGGGGAGTTACTGTAAATTATATAACTGAAACGTTTTCGGCCCTGATCAGTTGCCCAGACAGAAGCAATTACCTTTTGTGTTTTGTGGGTTGTCAAGGCCAAAAAAGGAAGAAATAATTTGTGAGTCCTTATTACCTGTCAGGATAGAAAAAGACATTCATCGCTAAGATTTTTACAAAATTATAAATTAGGCTCCGAAGTGAACACAGTTTGTAAACTGTTGTTCAAATGTTCATTTGCATGACATTATACCTCCTGGTTCCAGGAAGTAATGTTTATTTTGCATAATTAACTTTTACCTGGTTTATTGTTGTCCGTGTCAACAGCCTGGCGTTTTTGAATAGAACCATGTTTACTTTGTCAAACGTTTTCAATAGAGTAGATGTCAGTGTTTGAATAGGACACATGTTGTATATATTGTTAGTTAAGCAAGACTTTGCATATAAAAAGACCATCTGCTCTGGTACAACAATGTACAGTAGACAACACGTGCATTTTCAATAGATTAGCTTAGACTATTCACTAGAATCCAAGCAGATGTAAGCTTTGTCACTACGTATGAAGATTGGGCTAACCAATCGAATGTTCTGTATTTATCAACCTGTACGTATCTTAGAGTTAAAGTCTTTGTATTCATTTGTATAGGCGAACATCTCAGGTGTTTACCTTCGACGATACATAAGTAGCGCGAAAACTTTTACTCTGTACGCGTGTATTAGCTTTGAAGTATCGATGAAGTTTACTCTACATTAAAGAAGTTGTGGTCTAGAAGACGTCTCAGTGTTTACTGCCGTTTCCTCGATTCTTGGGACGAAGAGACTAGACCCTGTACTGGTGCCATTCTTTAACGAGTGCCAGCTGACAAGCGGTCTGCTCTACAGAGTTTTTCCCCGTTCCCGTCCAGTGTCGTCGCTAGCAACTCCCTGTTTGCTAGTACTTCAATCCACGCGAAGTGTTCCAGCCATCAGATCCAATATTTACCGAGCTCGCTAGTGCTCGTAAAACCACCCCACAGACCTAAAATCTATCGTTAATGACATTCCATTCCCTTAAGTATTATTACTCGGAACACATATCACATGCATTACGCGGGGAGTAAGTGGCCAGCCAGCACACTCTCTATTTTAAGAATATTGTTTTTCCGTCCCAGGCTGAATGTTCCTTTTTTTCTGCCGATTTCAAGTTGAAAATATTCTTGTGAATATACTTAGATTATCTGATTCAGGTTGGAGCTAGACTAAAGGAAATAAAGCCTGTGATATGACACACATAACTTCTTGCACAAATGTTGTTAGTATTCTGGCTACTAATTTTGTCGTTTCGAGAAAGGAAGAATTTTATACGGTCCGTATCATTCAATGTATTGCATTTGCAAATTTTCAGCACAAAATTATATTCTTTTCCAAAATCTCAGCCTTGGGTTAAAATGTTCTTAAAACTTCGCAATTCAGTTCCAACTTCGATATTTTTATAAAATATATCCTTGCAGAAAAAAAACCTTTGCACAAACTGATTGCGCGACATATACACAGTACGCCACAAAGTTCATCCCGTAATTCGCTCGTCCAGCTTTTAACTTTTTTTCAAAGGGAACACGTGGCTCGCGATCAAATGTGTTTTTTCTTTAGAGATGTTAAGTGGTTTTTCCGGCGCGAGCGGAAATTAACTGGTGGTTTTTATAATTACTGCTGAACATTATGCAAACTAGGAAAATGTTTTGAAAAATTCTAATAAGGTGTCTGTATTTATACCCATTAACTTTAACCAGAAGAAAGAGTTGATAACTAACTTTCGTCAAACCCCAAAAACGTAAAATTGCCCACCGTGGATGTTTTATTTAAGACGTCATAAGACCATTCAACTTGGATCTTTCAGAGACGCTGTAATTGTAAACATATACTGCTCTGGAGCTCGTCAGCACGCGAACAAAGGCCGGGAACAGAGGTAATGTAGTTGACGGACGCTGCCCTGAGATCTTTCTGGTTGTTCAGCGTTCTCGCCTCCTTGTTTTCACTTTGTGGTAGTCTGGAATCCAAATTTTTAGCAAGAAATCTGTGAAAGGTTTATTTACTAGCTAAACTGTATTCATGGATTATAACTTACAATGGCTCAGATACATTAGAGACCTTTCCAGGCAACTTAAGTTCAAACGGCACTAACTCAGTAACATAGCTGGCTTATTAAATTTCCAGGCTTAGGGCTGTTGACAGACTAACGCTTTTCGACTGACTGATTCGGTGAGTAACGCAAAATAGGAAATTCGCAAGAACTCCGAAACGCAAAAAGATTTTGGAATTTTTGTCTTGAGATACAGAAAGGGCTGGCAATATTTTATATGTTCGTCAAATATGTTCATTTTGGAAAAATAATTGACCCGCAAAACTATTCCGTGCGCGGTGGCGTTACGCTACCAAAAAACTTAATAAATTAAGAAAGGTTAATCAGAAACTCTTCACAAGAGACCGGATGCGATTTCTGTTGTTTAGGTACCGGGATAGCATATCCAGGTTTTTCTTTTTTTTAAAAAAATACTTGAATGTTCGACTCTTTTAAACCGGCTGTTAAAAACCGGGGCCCGAACAGAGACGCTTATTTTATTAACTCAAGGTAAGGTTTTAAAATATGAAGTTTGACTTGTAGGGGTCGTGAATGGTAAATGATCTAAATGCGAGACTTTGCGAGAAGGCGAGATTGGCGTTTTTCTTTGTGAGCGCGAGACATTTTGACTTCTCCAATAGCGAGGCCGAGACTTCAAAGTGTTTTAAATGCGAGCTCGAGACGTGCAGGTTGTAAGACGTCATTTAAGCTTATATAAAATGTAAAAATATTGGTACCTCGAGGCTTTCTTAGCCTTGAAAAAAATCGAGACTGCAAGACAGCTTTGTGAAAAAGGTGACCGAGACTGCGAGACGCACATAACCGCTTAAAAACGAAACTGCGAGACCCGTGGAATTAGGCGAAAATTTTGCGAGACCCATGGTTTTTGAACGATCATTCGCCACCCCTACTCGTCGCTGCTCTTATGCGAAACGAACCGTAAATTCCAACTTTGTACATGTAAGTTATTTAAAAGGGGCACCTCCTCCTTCATTTACTAGACATACAGTAAAAGGAATATACATTGATGCAGCGCGGATAGTTTTAACTTACAAACTAGCCCGTTTTAACTAAAACACAGAAGTAAATTTTCGTTGCTTAAGTGAAGAGATAAAGAAATAAGAGGGTCCGTCTAGGTAATTTTTGTTGCCATTAAGTGAAGTAATCAAAAAAAGAAAGAATCACAACCTGCTTACGTAACCCTCATACAGAAGGAAAATGGAGAGGATTGCGTAATCAATTTACCGACTCACTTGCAGTGACTCACGTGCAGTGACTCACGTGCAGTGACTCACGTGCGGTGACAACGTGAAAATCATATTTTGAAATAATATCTCTCTCCGTTTCCGCCCTATTTCCACAGCATGATAGAGGCACAGAACTCAATTGCCTGAAGTTTTGATTTACAAAAATTGATAGCGCGAGTGAAAAGTTAAACAATCGAAGTAAACTTAACGAAAATGATTTTCCTTTCTTTTTCTCGCAGTACTTTCCAAAAGAAATAGAGATCACTTTCTGTATGCTGGGAATTCTTTTTCCTATAATTATTATGTATTTCTTGATGAAAAAAATTAGACCTTAACAATGAATTCCCAAGACGGTCGCAAAACTCGACCCAGGTAGTAAGTAGACAGGTGGCCTTTGAAAATTCAGGCGAGCTTCATAAAAAAAAAATTGAACAGTTGTAATCCGTTCTTGCCTCAATTGAGCAGAGTGACAGTGGATTAATAGCCTGCGAACAGGCTTCCGGTGAGCCCGAAAGAAGCGAGGGAGCCTGTAGACATTCTGTTGATGCTGCCGTTCTATGATACCAGCTCCTGGTATCATGATATGATTGGTTCAATCGCTGATTGTTGACATCTTTGAGATGAATATTTGACAGATCTTTGTAAAATTATACGACTCCAACGGCTCGTTATGGCGCATTTGCCGTTCCCTTTTACGTTTCGGTCTCTCGACCTCTCGTTATTTCACAAGTGATTCTGAAGGGTACTTTATGCTCTGTTACGAGGAGGAATTTTAAGTAGAAGCTACTGGAGTGGAACCGTTTGGCTGTGCTATAGCAATTTTTTTAGAGGTCAAAGGCATGGTTTCCTGACTTTCCACTGTTATCTGCTTGTTGCTTCGCAGAGTTTGACACCTCTATCATGTGCTTATAATTTCTTTAGGCTCATTTCAGTACTGCAAAATATGTTTTAAGCTCTCTAAGTATCGGCTCTGGAGGGACAAAGTGTTTGAAATATTCCGTGAACATGTTGCGTACTTGCACTCTATATTATGACGCCCGGCCCGGCTATTTAATTAGCTCGATGAGAACTGTTTGCAAGTACCGAAAATGTAGCTTCTTGACAGGTCTAATTACCTCATTGACTGATTTGTTACAGGCTT